TATTATATATAAAAATCGTTCAAGACCAATTCGTCTCTATCATCTGCAGATTTGATCTTCAGCTACTCTAGCTTAGCTATAATAGCAATTGCATGGTAGATCATTTTCTATATTTAAGAGGATATTTTGGTTAGTTTCAGCTTGCCGAAAGCTTTTCCGTCTATGTTTCGTCATTATCATCATCATCATCAACTGTTGCTATATTAATTAAAATATTTGAATGATTTTTGTAGTTTCAATTAAAGTAATATCGAATGCAGTTAATCATTAATTAATTTAATCATTTTCCAATTGTTGAATGTTTTATTTTATTTCTTTATTTTTTTGTATTTACTTTAATTTCTGTGAGGCAAATTTGATTACAAATGCAATTGCTGTGCAATTGTTGCTGTTCGTCGGCAATTGCACAAATATGCCAACAATGCGCTCCCCCGCGGCCCAGAAAATGCTTTGCAAATGTTGAGCGTGTGTGTTGATGTGTGTGTGATGGTGTGTGTGATGGGTGTGTGTGTATTTGAACTTTTTAATTTGAGCGTGTGTGTGTGTGTATCATTATGCAAATTAATTTTTGGTAGCAACAATAAAGAGAAAGATGACCACATGAATACACAGTACACACATACCAACACACACACACACACCCATATACAAACACACACACACACAAACCGCAGCGATAATAGTGTTTAGGGCTAACAGCAACAGCAACAGCAACAATAACAATGCAAAATTCACAGCCGCAAAAATGTCAACGAAAATGATGGCCGAAAACGCAGTCAGCACTTTGCAACTATTGCAACAACAACAACAACAGCAACAGCAACGTCAACATTTACAGACAGCACCTAGATCCCCAGCCAGTACCCCTCTCCACACGCCACACACTCCTCGCCCCAAAAGCCCAACAGCCTCTGTTTCCCGTTTGCAGTTGATTCCCTATTTCGACAGAGGCGCAACTGCCGATAGCCGCATCGATGGCATTGCAAGCAGGAGGCAGAGCGAGAGAGAGAGATAGAGAGCGTGGAGTAGTGAGTGAGAGGAGGCGACTCGGTGCAATGAGAGGTACGTACATGAAATGCAGCATATGGAACAGGCGCAGTTGACAGCACCGCGAACGATGCGATGCGCTGCGATGCCTCCACATGGGACAAAACTTTTTTTTTTCTGTTTGAGAGGGAGAGGGAAAGCGATCCAACTCCTCTCTACTCGTGGTCTCGGTCACTCCCTCTCTTTCTCTTTCCCTCTCTCTTTCTCTGTCTCTCTCTCTCTCTCTCTCTCTTTCTTGCAATTTTTCTTTATTCAACAAGTATCATTTTCTGCTTGCCTCTTCCTTGAATTCTTCTCGTTCTTTTAGTTCTTTAATTTCAATTGTCAAATCGAGAGAAGTTTTTTTATTCTTCCGTTCTTTCTATCCCTTTTATTCCTGTTCTCGTCTGTTCTTCTCTCTCAGCTTTCTCGCTCTCTTCTCATTCTGTCGCTCTATATTTTTCGTTCCCTCTCCCTCTTCCTCTTCCCTCTCGTTTCCTTCGCAATTTTTTTTTTTTTGTCTATTTGGTTTCCTTCGGCTTTGTACATATTCTCTCTTTTATCTCATCCCTATCTGCCTCTTTTTCACTATTTCATTCATTTCCTACTTTCATCTCTCTCTTTTGTTCTTCCTCTTCCTTTTCTTTCCCTTTTCCTTCTTTATCACTCTCATCATCATCTCTCGTTTTCTATCTCTACTCTTCTGTCGTATATATGATCTCTAAGTTTCATATTCTTTATCAGCTGTGCCTCTCATTCCTTTTAATCACTCTCTTCTTTGCATCTCAGTCATTCACATATTTATCTTGTCTTAGCTGGATTGTTGATTCCCTTCTAAGGTATGCACCTTTGGCTCTTCATCTCTCTCTTTCTCTCTTTCATTTTCTATCCCTTTCTCTTTCGCTCTTTCTTTCTACCTCTCTCCTTCTATCACTCTCTCTTTCTCTGCCGTTCTTTCTCTTTGAATCTCTCAGAAAAGTTAAGCTATTGCAAATAGCTATCGCAATTGGCTTTTTGTATTTGTTTGGTTCTTGCCTCGAAAGCCCCCATCAATAATTCTTGGTTTTCATTTGTTTTCTCGAACACTAATCCCCTCCACAGGGTTGCATACGAGATTTGCATTAGATCCCTGACAGATTTACTGTCGCAGCGCCAATGTTCCGATTGTGCAAACATAAAAGCATGCACGCACATATGTAAATGAATAAACTTTGCATACGTTCGCTGTGCGTGTGAGTGTGCGAGTGTGTGCGTGTGTGTGTAGACGCCATCAAAATT